AATCAAAATGAGCCGGGCGTGGTAGTGCGCGCCTGTAGTTCCAGCTACTTGGAAGGCTGACGTGGATGGATTGCCGGAGTCCAGCAGGCCGAGGCTGCGGTGGCCGGGAGCGGCCACTGCACTCCAGTCTGGGCGACAGAGTGAGACTCCAACTCAAAAAAAAAAAAAAAATTAGTGGGACGTGGTAGCGCACGCCTGTAGTTCCGGCTACTTGAAAGGCTAAGGCAAGCCGGGCTCAGTGGCTCAGCCTGTAATCCCGTGCCTTTGGGAGGCTGAGGTGAGTGGATTGCCTGAGCCCGCCAGTTCGAGACCCGCCTGGGCAGATGAGACCTCATCTCCACAATAAATCAAAAAATCAGCTGGGCGTGATAGCGCACGCCTGTAATTCCGGCTACTGGGAAGGCTGAGGCGAAAGGATCGCTGGAGCCCAGCAGGTCGAGGCTGTGGTGATCAGAAGCACGCCACTGCCCTCTATTCTGGGCGACAGAGTGGGACTCCGACTCAAAAAAAAAAAAGAGAGAGAACAAAGAGGCTGGGCGTGGTAGCGCACGCCTGTAATTCCGGCTACTGGGAAGGCTGAGGTGGAAGGATCACCAGAGCCCAGCAGGTCGAATTTGCGGTGGCCGGGAGTGGCCACGGCACTCCAGTCTGGGCGATGGAGTGAGACTCCAACTCAAAAATAAAAAATAAAAAAGAATTTCACTGAAAATTTCTGCTTCGAGCAACTGAGTAGAATGGAAGGAGATACCGTTTACCAAGCTGGAAAAGTCCAGGGAGAGATTTCAAAGGAAGAGTTTGAGTTCAGAATTGCACACAGGTTTTTGGGATTCCTGTGAGCACTTCAAGTGAATAAATGACATTTGGGAATCACCAACAAATGAGTTATATTTTTTTAATTTATTTATTTATAAAATTTTTTTTTTTTTTTTTGAGTTGGAGTCTCACTCTGTCGCCCAGACTGGAGTCCAGTGGCCGCTCCCAGCCACCGCAGCCTCGACCTGCTGGGCTCCGGTGATCCCTCCGCCTCAGCCTTTCGAGTAGCCGGAGTTACAGGCACGCGCTACCACACCCGGCTGATTTTTTTATTTATTGTAGAGATGAGATCTCGCTGCCCAGGCGGGTCTCGAACCCACGGACTCAGGCAATCCACTCACCTCAGCTTCCCAAAGGCGCGTTTTACAGGCTGAGCCACTGAGCCCGGCTGTGAATGATATTTTGGAGTGAGAAGGCAGCCATTGCCTTACTAGACTCTGGTGTGGCCATGTCTCAGGTCAGACACCAGTTTTTATTTGAGCTATGACCACCGCCATGTTTTCTGGCTCTGGTCCCCTTTCCTACCTTGGGGAGGTGAATCTCCTTTCTCTCTCTCTCTAATTTACTTTTTAAATAGACTGTATTTTTTAATCTAAATAAAAAGAAGAAAAGTTGGGTGTGGTGGTTCACACCTGTCATCCCAGCACTTTGGGAGGCAGAGGCGAGAGGATTGCCTGAGCCCAGGGGTTCGAGACCAGCCTGGGCAACTTGGGGAAACCTTGTCTCTACAGTAAATCAAAAAATTAGCTGGGCGTGGTGGTGCACGCCTGTGGTTCCAGCTACCTGGAAGGCTGAGGTGGAAGGATCACCTGAGCCCAGTAGGTCAAGCCTGTGATGGCTGTGAGCATGCCACTGCACTGCCGCCTGGGTAACAGAGTGAGACTCCTACTCCAAAAATAACAATAATAATAAAATAAAATAAAAGAGAAGAAATGAGGCTGGGTGTGGTGGCTCACACCTGTAATCCTAGCACTTTGGGAGGCCGAGGCCGGAGGATTTCTCAAGCCCAGGAGTTGAAGACCAGCCTGGGTAGCACAGCAAGACCCCGTCTCTTTTGCAATAAAAGAAAAACCAAGTGAAGGAGTAGATGAGACCCCAGAGGAAAAGACTGCAGAGTGAGAAGAGAAAAAAGAAGTGAGAATTAACAAGACCAGAGTGGGAGAGCCCAGGACTGAGCCTCGAGGACATCCGACAGGGAGCTCGGGTAGAGGAGGAGGGTCTGGACACCATGGCCGGGGACCCGGAACTCCGAGAGGGCTGACATCCCTGTGGGTAAAGGGGAAGAGACTTTCCAGAAGGTGGGAGTGTTCTACCAGCCAAGCATTTCCGACAGGCCAGTCGACACAGAGGCTGATTTCGCGGGCCACGGATGCCGGGGGCGGGGCGAGGATGACTTGTGAGGAGGGTGGGCAGGCTGGGACATGGTGGCGCCTCCCCTCACGTCGCAGCCACTTTGGCAACGAACGCATTCCATCTCTCCTCCCAGATGGCCTTGAAAGCCGCCTTCTCGGCCTCTGACAGCGTGCTATACCTGCAGGGAGAAGAGCAGCCCAGGTCGACCCCAGGGCAGGGGCTGGCGACAGAGACAGGGGCCTGAGGGGACATCGGGGCCTGGCAGAGCACGGGTCCCCAGAGAGCAAGCACGGCAGGGCAATGGGCGATGATCAGCAGAAACTCACAAGAGCCGCCGGGCATCAGCCTCAGACCTCCAGGGAGGCAGGGCCAGCGGGAGCGGGAGGGGGTGGAGATGGGAGACATGTCGGGGACACTCACTTGATTGAGTTGATGGCCAGCTGCTTTAGGGTCCTCAAGTCAGCCTTCATGCCCCCGAGGCCCATGAAGGCCTCGTAGAAATCGTAGGACAAGCCTTTGGCACCGAAGACAGCCGGGTCATCAGAGCTGATCACCATCGGGTGTCCCGTGGCCATCAGAGTGGCGGCAGGGTGGTTTCTTAGGTCGGACACCAGTTCCAGAACCTGCCCGACGGAAGGCAGGGGAGAAAAACAAGCTTTCGGCGGGAAAAAGAGTCATCCCGGCCAGGCACCATGGCCCATACCTGTAATCCCAGCACTCTGGGAGGCTGAGGCAAGAGGATCGCTTGAGCCCGGGAGATCGAGACCAGCCTGGGCAACAGAGTGAGACCTCATCTCTACAAAAAAATGAGAAAACTAACTGGGCACATTGGCATGTGCCTATGGTCCCAGCTACTTGGGAGGCTGAGGCAAGAGAATCTCCTGAGCCCACGAGGTCAAGTCTGTGGTGAGCCGTGATCATGCCACTGCACTCTAGTCTGGGCAACAGAGTGAGACCCCGACTCAAAAGGAGAGAAATTGTACAGGAAACAGGTTGAGAATCGGAGCAGAGGTGGTCATCTGGGATGCATCCCGTGGGTCACACCTACCTGGTTGGAGATGGGACAGACTTCAACGGGGATGTCCTTCTTCCAGGAGTAAGACTTGACTGCTGGGTGTTTGCTCAAAGTAAATCCATGACCAATTCTGGTCGTGTTCAGCATTAGGGCGTCCAAGAGATTTTCGTCTATGGTCGTGCCCTGCCAGACTGGAAAGAGAATTGTCTTCGGTGGGAGGATGGGTCAGACTCACAGACCCAGAAGGTTCCAGATCTCCCAAGCAAGAAAAGAAAGAAAAATTAACATGAACACAAAAACACACACAGGCACACACACATATTTTCCTTACAACAATGCTAAAGAGAGGTATGGCATGCCTTTATTAAGTTAAACGAGTGTTTTAACTTATTTAGTTGTTGACCAGATAAGGAAGTTGAAACTTGCATAGGTTTTTGGGATTTTGTTTGTTTGTTTGTTTTTCTGACTTGGAGTCTCACTCTGTCGCCCAGACTGGAGGGCAGTGGCCGCTCCCGGCCACCGCAGCCTCGACCAGCTGGGGTCCGGCGATCCTTCCGCCTCAGCCTTCCGAGTAGCTGGCGTGCTACCATGCCCGGCTAATTTTTGATTTATTGTAGAGATGAGGTCTCGCCAAGTTGCCCGGGTGGGT